TCTTCTTTTGAAACCAAACCAATTTTTTAAAAATAGGCATAGATTCATTTCAGCATTTTCACAATAATAAACTTGAGGGAGGAAAATCCCTGAAATATCCGATCATAGGCTAGGTGAAAAAATTATTGCAAATGCTCTTGATAGAATACTAAAAAGCATTTAAGCAGATTTCCCAACACATTAATAAACTGGAAATGATTTATGACATAATAAGTTTAAAAAGAAAGATACTGGGTTAGTTATTTGTTTGTACTGAACACACACATGTTGTTATTTATGTATGTTTTAAAGACCAAGAGGAAATTTATACCAAAGTATAAATAGTGCTGATGGTACTTCTTGTATTTTTTTTCTTTCTGCTTCTTTGAATGTTTTAAATATTCTTGAATGAGCACAAATGATTCTGATAACAGAGTGGGGAAAATAAAAAAGTAAAATTTTTCATTTCTAGTAAGAACAAGTGGTTGGGTTCAGCTAATCGAATTAGTTATAGTGGCGTTGAAGGTTAACTCTAATATTAAAAATAAATTTAAAAGAATCATTCTCAAGCAAAATGGATGTAACTAGCAGAATCATCTGGAAAGTCTTTCCAGAATAAATAACCCCAAATTCAGCTCCTATGCCCACCCAGTACACAGGCAGGCACACACACTCACGCACTCATGCACACTGACACACTCACACACACTCACGCACTCACACACACTCACTCACGCAGACACACAGGTCACTGGGACTAAGAACCATAGTTCTCATTCTCTAGCACAAAGATGCATCCATCACCAAAGTGCGCAGAAATGCACTCTGCGATCTCCGGGGACGCACAGGTAAACTGGGGCTCACAGAGGCCTTTACTGGTTTTTAATTTATTTACTTTTGGCTGTGCTGGGCCTTCAGTGCTGCTTGAGCTTTTCTCCAGTTGTGGGTAGCAGGGGCTCCTCTGTAGTTGTGGTACGCGGGCTTCGCATTGCGGCGACTTCTCTTGCTGCGGAGCACGGTTTCTAGGGTCCATGGGCTTCAGTGGCTGCAGCTCCCAGGCTCCGGAGCACAGGCTCGGGAGTTGTGAGGCATAGGCTTAGTCATTCCATGGCTTGTGGGATCTTACTGGATCAGGGACTGAACCCTACATTGGCAGGCGGATTCCCCAACAATGAGCCCCCAGGGAAGCCCCCAGGCCATTACTATGAACTCTGTTAAATTTAAACAATATAACGGGATATTTGGAAACCAAAGAAGAGAAAAAGTGACACAGAATCCTATGACTCTAGAAAGGACAGTTAACATTTTTTGTGTGTTTGGGAAACACATCACAGACCTCCCAAGCCCCTCCTGCCGTGTGCAGGGGTGCGTGGTGGTTAGGGCGTGGGCTCTGCAGGCTCGTCCTCTGATTGATGAGTGACCCTGGGCCTGACCCAACCTTTCTGAGGTTATTGTCTCTGTTTATCTGAATAAAGTTGGAGGATGATAATGGCTCCTGCCTCATAATATTGTAGTCAGGATGAAAAGAAGAATTCATGTAAGACACTGAGAGTGATCCCCGGCGTACGGTGAGCTGTTGTTGTTCAGTCACTAAGTTGTGTCCTACTCTTTATGACCCCATGGACTGCAGCAGGCCAGGCTCCTCTGTCTTCCACTACCTCTTGGAGTTTTCTCAAATTCACGTCCATTGAGTCAGTGATGCTATCTAACCATCTCATCCTCTGCCACCCGATCCTCCTTTTGCCGTCTATCTTTCCCAGCATCAGAGTCTTTTCCAATGAGTTGGCTCTTCACATTAGGTGACCAAAGTATTGGAGCTTCAGCATCAGTCCTTTCAATGAATATTCAGGGTTGATTTCCTTTAGGATGACTAGTTTGATTTCTTTGTTGTCCAAGGGACTCTCAAGAGTCTTCTCCAGCACCACAGTTCAAAAGCATCAATTCTTCGGTGTTTAGCCTTCTTTATGGTCCAACTCTCACATCCATTCATGACTACTAAAAAAACCATAGCTTTGACTATACAGACCTTTGTTGGCAAAGTAATGTCTCTGATTTTTAGTACAATGTCTAGGTTTGTTATAGCTTTCCTTCCAAGGATCAAGCGTCTTTTAATTTTGTGTCTGCAGTCACCATCTACAGTGATTTTGGAGCCCAAGAAAATAAAATCTGTCACTGTTTCCACTTTTTCCCATTCTATTTGCCATGAGGTGATGAGATCAGATGCCATGATCTTAGTTTTTTGAATGTTGAGTTTTAAGCCAGCTTTTTCACTCTCCTCTTTCACCCTCATCAAGAGACTCTTTAGTTCCTCTTCACTTTCACCCCCAGACACATCCACAACTGAGCATCATTTCTGCTTTGGCCCAGCTGCTTCATTGTTTCTGGAGATATGAGTAATTGCCCTCTGCTCTTCCCCAGTAGCATATTAGATACCTTCAGACCGGGGAGGCTCATCTTCCGGTGTCATATCATTTTGCCTTTTTGTACTATTCATGGGAATCTTGCGGCAAGAACACTGAAGTGGTTTGCCATTCCCTCCTCCGGTGGACCAGACTTTTATCAGAACTCTTCACTGTGACTCATCCATCTTGAGTGGCCCTGCATGGCATAGCTCATAGCTTCATTGGGTTACACACGCCCCTTCACCACAGCAAGGCTGTGATCCATGAAGGAGGGCCTTATACAAGGGATGGCTCCCAACAGAAGGTCCTTCCCTGGGTCTGAGATTCAAGCTCTGAGAGCAGGGCCAGGGAGCATTGGACTCAGCCTCAAGCCCTCCAAACCAGCCATTTGTCCAAAATGGCCCTAGCAAGACCTGGGCGGAGCATAATACACGTTGTCCAGAAAAATACCAAGGCCAGACCCACCATGGCCCTTTGAGCCAGCCTGGGTGGGGCTGGGGTCTCCTCATGAGGCTGAGGAGACCAGAGCTGGGAGGAGCATCAGAGGTCTAGAGGAGGACCTGCCCATCGGTCAGGGAAGCAGCCTCCGGCCCCAGATCCGGGAGACGGGTCGCCCAGGGCAGGGCTCCGGCCCCCTGTGCACTAGGACTTCATACACTGTGGCCCCCACAGTGTCATGCCAGTTCCCAGGAGGCCCCCTGCTGTTCCATAGATGTTGGATCACCCATGGGTTTCCTGACACATAGGTTCCAGTGGATTCAGGTGGATGGGAGACTGAGCTGAACATTCCCAACTGGAACATCAGGCCCACAGCCCTCCCCAAGGCCACGGTCACTGACGCAGGTCCCCACAGGCCACCTTCTCCTTGTTTAAGGGAACTGCTGTTGGCCAGAGCCCTCAGCTGACAGTGGGAAAAATGCGACTTCAGGACAGCGAAAGCTTAGTCTTCGTCACTGTGCACCCTCTCTAATGAGAGCAGAAAGGCAAAAGTCATCAGGAGACCTAGCGTTTCTAACCTCAGGCACGCGCTGGGCTTTCTGCATCTAGGTCCTCATGTCCTTCTAAGAGAACCACCAAGGGGCAAGAGGTGTGAGGGCCAAAGGGCCTGGGCATCCCCCTCCAGCCTCTCTCCTCCTCCGGCTCAGGGCTGCCCACATCCTGCTCTGCATCCTGGATTAAGTCACTCTGCAGAGGTGTCCTTACCACTGAAAATCTTTACTATCTGGTTCAATGGCAAGCCCCTCAATCAGATTTCTCTCTCCAAAATTCCCTTGGAAAATAATGGAACAAACATAAGAGTGCAGAGAGGTGACTCAACACTGGGAAACCAGGAAGGTCGATATTCACAGGTGAGAAACTTCAGGATGCACATTTAAGGAATGAAGTTGATGACTGGATGGAAAAATGGATGGACTGGTGTAACTGCACATACATTGGAAAACCTTCCATGGGAAGAAAGTGAGGGCCTCCCTGCAGAGGCCGCCAGAGAGCCTCAAGCTCAGGGGCCCCGGGCCTGGAGGGTGTAAGGTGGCAGGAAACGGAGAAGTGAGGCAGGAGCAACTTCCACTGCCGGAAGCAGACGACACCAAGGAGAAGCCTTATGTTTCTCTGCACCACAGCCTCCAGCAGAACCCGGCCTGTTCCTCCCACCATCCACTGGGTCTGTGTTTAGACACAAAGGCCCTGAAGTCAGAGCAACCATCTCCACAGGAGGACCAGCATGGGGCAGTGAGTGGACCGAGAGCTGGAAGTATTAGCTGGGGGCCACTTGGCCTGAAACGCTGGCTGGTCTCCCCTTAGTTGGTGGCACTGCTATCCTTTACCTGTGAGCAGAGATAGGCCCGGTGGACCTAAGGAGGCTGAGGCAAAGGGAAGGCATGTCTTTGGAGACTGTGACGGACATCCCAGAGGCAAAGGTTCTTGTCCCGGGCCTCCCGGTTGCCAGCTTTGTGACTTTGGGGCCTCAGTTTCCTCATCTGTAAAACAGGTCTAATCTCAGCACTTAACACATGGGGATTTGGTGAGGACTCTGTGTGGTGGTGGGCTTCTCAGATGGCGCTAGTGGTAAATAACCTGCCTGCCAATCCAGGAGACTTAAGAGACACAGGTTCAATCCCTAGGTTGGGAAGATCCCCTGGAGGAGGGCATGGCAACGCACTCCAGTATTTTGCCGGGGGGATCCCAGGGACAGAGGGGTCTGGTGGGCTACAGTCCATAGGCTCAAAGAGTTGGAGATGACTGAAGCGACTTAGCACACTTGCATGCTGTGTGGTGGTATTTTAAAGCAAATATCCTAAACTATTTCCCCTGGACTGTGTGCTGACAGAGGTAGATGGTCAAGCAAGACTTGTTGACTTTATTCGACTTGTTTGCTATAGTCATCTGATGCTGCAAAACAAAGCCCCCAACACCCAGTGTCTGAAAACAAGGATAAACTATGTTCCCACGTGGTTTCACGTGGATCAGGAATCCAGGAGCCGCTCTGCTCTCCTGTGAGGTTGCAATGGCAGGTGTCAGCTAGGATTGCAGTCGCTGAAGGCTGGACTGGGGCTGGAGGACTCACTTCCCAGCTGGCTCCTTTGTGCGGTTAGCAAATTGGTGCTGCCTGTTGAGAGACACCTTGTCTTTCTCTGTGCTGGTCACTCCGTGTGGCTTGGGCTTCCTCATATAATGGTGTCTGGAGTTCAAAGACGAACATCCTGACATTGAGAGAGAGAGAGAGAGAAAAGGAGGGGGAGAAAGACGGGGGTGGGAGAGAGGAGGAGAAGTAGAAGGTTGGGGAGACAGGGTGAAGTGGTATCTGTCTCTTTTCCTATGTGATACTGTGTGTGCTCAGTTGCTCAGCCATGTCCCACTCTTTGCGACCCCATGGACTGTAGCCCACCAGGCTCCTCTGTCCATGGGATTTCCCAGGCAAGAATACTGTAGTGGGTTGCCATTTCCTACTACAGGGGATCTTCCCCACCCAGGGTTGGAATCCACATCTCTTGTGTCTCCTGCATTGGCAGACAGATTCTTTACCACTGAGCCACTTGGGAAGCCTATGACTTCAAATTTTCTATGACTTAGCATAGGAAATCATTTATCATCAGAATCTGTCAGACTCCACCAGTCAGGACGGTCACAAGTCCCTGCCCAGACTTAAGTGGAGAAACTAGACCCCACCTCTCAGTGGGATGGTCCCCAATCACACTGTGAAAGGGTATGTGGAATGAAACAAATATATATGAATATTAACATGTCTTTGGAACATATAGACTGACGTATATGTTCTTATTAGAAATCTTCTTATTAGAAATCAAGAGCTCACATCCCTCTTTTGTCAAAAACTGCTGGCAGTCAGAAACCAATCTTGTCTGCCCCATGTGTGATCAGAGGTGGGCCTTCCTTGCCAAATGCCTAGCTTGATAAAGACTGTCCGGAAATGTTCACAAGAACAAAACCTTGGCTAGGCTCGTGAGGCAGCATGACAAGCAGATACAGCAAAGAACAATTCAGGAATTTATCAAATTTATATCACATTGCAAACTCCTTCCACTTAATAAAAACCTGGCCATGGGGATTAACGGCATATTTGCCTGTGATCTATGGCTTTGAGGGAGGTGGAAACCCAGGCTCCAGGAATGTGTGGACGGAATTTCCCTCTCTCAGATTTATGGTCTTTATTCATCTCCAGTCTCTGACCCCAGACGATCCCTAACTCTCAACACATCATGTTGCCTCCTTCTTCCTGGAGAAAGTAGATGTGAACACATGGAGCGCTCTCACATGCATCGTCATTTCCACTTGTCTTCTTTTATCCCGTCCGCCTCCTTTCCTGGTACGACAGAGGAAGGCCCCTGTTCTGACTGTAGCCAGCCTCTCTGGAGCCCATCCTACCTCCCCATTCTCAGCATCATTTCATGTTGATTTTCACCTTCTGCTGTATCATTAGCATGTCATTTTCATTGTCTTCTTTTAATCATTTCATGCCACTCTCATCTTTAAAAGCACACCCAAGATCACCATCACCACCAAAGAAAACCACCTCCAGTACAAACAACCCTTTATGCACACTTGTTTTATTCTGGGTTCTCTCAGAAACAAAACCAGTAGGATACATTGATTTATAGACGTATAGTTATGAGAAAATGGGGATGGTAAGTGAGGACGATTTGGGCAAGTTTACTTGTAAACAGAGCAGAAAGACAAGATAGTAACTGCAGGGGAATAAAGGTGGGGAATATAATGTGATGGTTAATTTTACATGCCAGTTTGAGCAACAGGTTGCCAGATGTCTAGTTAAATATTATTTCTGGGTGTGTCTGTGAAGATCTTCCTGGATGAGATTAATGTACATAACAAGGAATTGGCACATGGGGCTGTGGTGATGGAGGCTGTTGTTGTTGTTGTTTTTCAGTTGCCCAGTTGTGTCTGACTCTTTGCAACCCAATGGACTGCAGCATGCCAGCCTCCCTGTCCCTCACCCTCTCCCGGTGTTTGCCCAAGTTCCTGTTCACTGTATAAGTGATGCCATCCAGCCATCTCACCCTCTGATGCCCTCTTCTTCTTCTGCCCTCAATCTTTCCCAGCATCAAGGGCTTTTCCAACGAGTCACCTGTTCACATCAGCTGACTATAATACTTCAGCTTCAGCATCAGTCCTTCCAGTGAATATTCAGGGTTGATGATCTCCTTGCTGTTCAAGGGACTTTCAGGAGTCTTCTCCAGAACCACAGTTTGAAGGCATCAATTCTTTGGCGTTCTGTCTCCTTTATGATCCAGCTCTTACAACCGTACATGACCACCGGGAAGACCACAGCCTTGACTATGTCAAAGCGATGACAAACCTAGACAGTGTGTTGAAAAGCAGAGACATTGCTCCGTATAGACAAAGGTCTATACGGTCCGTATGGAGGCTGAGAAGGCCCCAAATCTGTTGGCAAGTTGGAGACACAGGAGAGCTGATGGCATGAGTTCCAGTCTGAGCTTGAGTCCAAGGGCAGGAGAAGACCAGCAAGCCAGCCAAAGCTGAATATGTTCTTTCTTAAGCTGCCCTTTTCTTCAGGCTTTCAAGGAATTAGATGTGGCCCGCACACACTGGGGAGGGCAATCTGCTGTCCTCTGTGCACTGACTCAAATGTTCTCCTTCCCCGGAATTGGGAGCCAGGATTTTAGGGTGAGAAAGGCCCTTACCTTTTCTCAAACTTGGACTTCAGGAGCTGTCCAAATATTAAACCTCCCTAGTAGCTGATGATCACAGCAGATGAAGCTTGTGGACTTGGGGGCCCCTGTGTGCTAAAGAGCTTCACCAAAATCCTGTCCACGTGTGGAGGTCTAGATAGAATGTTTACTCCAAGGTGCTTTTGTTCATCTTGGTGTCTAAACATCGCCAGAGTATGGAGCCACTAAATAAAAATTCAAGTCTTTGTTGTAAAGAGAAAGAACACCTTGTCTTCTCGAAAGCCCTAGGGACTGGGAGTTTGGTTGGAGAAGGTATTGATTGGTCAAGAAAGCCCCTCTGCTCCTCTTCCTATCTGTCTTACCTGTCTGTCTGTCTCTTTCTTTTGTGTCTATGTGTCTTACACATCTGTCTTAAATGTCTGTGTCTATTATACAGCACTTTCATTGATGACTTGGCATGATAGAGTTCTTAGGTTGACCCATGACCTTGACCTCCACTTCTAGCTCTAAACCCAGAACCAAAGATGCAAATCAGAAAAAGGCTGAGATCTGCCTTCATTCTTGCCTTCCAGGGTCTGTTGCTTTATTTTGTATAATCTTGTCTGGCCAATCCCCCTGGTCTATTGTGTGTAACTGATACTTCATTTTCTCACCAACTTTTGAAGTTGATTTCTTTTATTTTTACATTCACAAGCATTGAAGGGTAATAGATGGGAAGGAAATCACAATTTAAAAGGATTTCATTCTAGTCTGCATGTCTACAACAGACCCTTTAACTCCTAGTCTGTTTTATCTGGAATATTTCAGTACCATGCACAAAGCTAGGGAAAGCTGAACACCAGTTTGGTTTATTGTAGTCTCAAACTGGATAGCTGCTGCCTTTCTGGTCTTTAGTTCCCCTAAAGAACACCCAAATCTTACTTTAATCCCCCAGCCTGGTCTTTTCTCCTGGGAAAAACGTCTGTACTCTACTCACATTTTCCCTCTTGTGGGAACACCCTGAAGACAGAGACATGTGCTTCTAATTTCTATGTCGAATATACTCATTGTTTCCACACTCAGTTTCCTTGCGTACGTCAGATTCCTGCAGTGTGGGAAGAGACGGCTGGTGTTGCCTGGTGTAGGATCTGTTGAGTCATAGGGTTTCTAGGGAAGACAACACTTAAAATGCACTTGTCTTAATTGTCTTCCTTCACAAATTCTAAGAGCCTCTTGAAAACTCAACGACTTATAAGATCATTTTGTAAGACCTAAAGAGAAACACAGTAGAAAATAGAATATCAGGAAATATATACTCTTTCTAAGCAAATACAGGCTTCAAAATGAAGACAAGAAGCTTGGCGATCGCTGTTCATGTTTTGCCAAGCTCTAACTATTTGAATTTTATTGGTTTTAGATGTTCTAGCAAGTCAGGAAGTGACAAGCTTGCTCATCTCTCACTTTTGCAAGGAACTTTGGCGAGGGAAATCTTGTTGAACCCAGGAATCTTATGATGAGCTTGAAATTTGTCAGAGATGCCCAAGGACCCTGGAAAACTGTGGTCAGAGGCTTGTGGGTGTGGGAACAGCAGACATGGGAGTCACATCCGAGAGGTACCAAGGTAGGAATGAGCCACTCTGGGCAGACCCGGTATTTCAGTCCTGTGTGCTGGCTTCTCTGGATGCTGAAGGACCCACCCAGGAACCCACAGAAAGGGCGAGAGGGAGAGTCAGGGACACTCCAGAGCCCTGGGCTCCTGGACGGGAGCCTGAGGACCTCATTCAGGGAGGCACCGCCCCTGCCACCTGGTCACCGACTGTGACCTCCATGTTGCCAGTCTTTAACGTAGATCTGCTGAGTTTGCAGTGGTGTCTCATAGGGTTTTTCACGCTTGTTTCCTTGATGGCTGGTGGTGCTACCGATGCTGAACACCTTGTCATGCGCTTATTGGCCATTCTGATTGTATCTTCTTCTGTAAAATGTCTGCACAAAGTGTTCAGCTCAGATCCTATTGGATTGCTGACCGTCTGATTATTAATTGTAAGATTTCTGTTTATGTTCTGGAAATAAGTCCTCTGCCAAGTACATTTTGAGACTATTCTCTCCCAGTCTCCGACTTGCCTTTTTATTTTCCTAAAAGTCTTCCAGTGACTGTTAATTGTGATGTGTTCAACTAACCGAACTTTTTCTTATGATTAATGCTTTTTGAGTGAGTCCTGTATAAAAAAATTTGCCTACTTCATTGAAGATTTTCTCCTATTTTTTTCTTCTAGAAGCTTTGCAGTTTTAGCTTTCATGTATACATCTTTGGCCTTTCATATCAGGCTTTGTACATGCTTTGAGGTAAGAGTCAAGGTTAATTTTTCTCCATATGGATATCAAACTGTTCCAGGACCATTTGTTGAAAAGATCATGCTTTTCTCATTGAATTATCTAGCTACTTTGTAAAAAATCAGTTGACCCTAGATGTCTGGGCCTAGATGCAGGTACTATTTCTGTACTCCGTTTGTTCTATTCATTGTTATGGATACACTTAGCTGAGTATCACTCTGTCTTTATCACTGTAACTGTGTAGTAAGTCTTTAAATTATATAGTGTAAGTCTTCAACTTTCTATTTTTCAAAATTGTTTTGGCATTTCTGGTATATTTGCATTTCCATAATAATTTAAAAATAAACTTGTCAATCCCAACCAAAAATCCTGGTGAGTTTTTGATTGAGGTTCTGTTAAATCTATAAACTTGGCAGATCTGAGGGGACCGCAGCCTCTAATTTATGAGCATGCTTTGACTTAAATCTTTTTAAAATTTTCTCAGCAATGTCTTATGGTTCTCAGTGTACAAATCTTATATTTTCTTAAAACAATTCCTAGATATTTCAAGATTTTGCCTGATAGTGTACATGGTATTTTTATTTTCCTTTTTTTGTTGCTGTTATTATTAGTATATAGAAATATTTACTTATATCCTGCACCCTTGCTAAATCCACTAATTAGTTTTAGTGGCTTTTTGTAGAATTCTTAGGAGTTTCTGTGTATATAATCATGTCTTCTCTGGGGGGAAAATACTATTTAACTTCTTCCTTTTCTGTGTGTGTGTGTGCTAAGTCGCTTCAGTCGTGTCTGACTCTTTGTGACCCTATGGACTATAGACTTCCAGACTCCTCTGGCCACTGGATTCTCCAGGCAAGAAAACTGGAGTGGGTTGCCATGCCTCCCTCCATGGGATCTTCCCAACCCAAGGATCGAACCTGCATCTCCCACACTGCAGGCAGATTCTTTTCCATTGAGCCACCAGGAAAGCCCACTTCATTTCCTATTTACATGTATTGTGTTGGTCAAAAAGTTCATTCAGGTCTTTTTGTAACATCTTATGGAAAAATCCAAAGGAACCATTTTGGCCAACACAATATATATATATTTTTTTCCTCTCTTATCTTAATGCACTGGACAAAGACTATAGAAGTATTGAACAGAAATGTTTAGAGTGGAAATCCTTACCTTGTTTCTGGTCATACAGGGAAAGTATCCTGTTTTTCACTATTAGATATAGTGCTAGCTATACATATTTTCACAGATGTTCTTTATTGATAAAATCATCTTCTATTTTTAGTTTACTGAGAATTTTTATCAATAATGGACTTAATTGTGTCAAGCTTTTTTGCTTATATTTATTGTGTTGATCATATGTGTTTTGGAGAAGGAAATGGCAACCCACTCCAGTGTTCCTGCCTGGAGAATCCCAGGGACAGAGGAGTCTGGTGGGCTGCTGTCTATGGGGTCGCACAGAGTTGGACACTACTGAAGCGACTTGGCAGCAGCAGCAGCATCATATGTGTTTATTCCTACTTCATTCTATTAAAGCAATGAATTACACTGATTCATATTGGAATGTGAAACCAAGCATTCCTGATCTCTTGGTCGTGATATATTATCCTTTTAAATGTATTGCTATGTTTAGTTTAATGACATTTTATTAATATTAAGAATTTTTGCTTCTATGCTTATGAGGGATATTCTGTAGTTTCCTTGTAATGTCTTTGCATAGTATTCATGTTGAGATTATGCTGGTTCATAAAAGGTTTCATGTTCCTTCCTCTTATGAATTTATGTAGAATTATTATAATTTCTCTCTTAAGTGTTTTACTTATAAATGTACAGCTTTGCATTCAATCTAAGATCATGGCATCTGGTCTCATCACTTCATGGCAAATAGAAGGGGAACAAATGTAAGCAGTGACAGACTTTATTTTCTTGGGCTCCAAAATCGCTACAGACAGTGACTGCAGCCATGAAATTAAAAGGCACTTGCTACTTGGAAGGAAAGCTCCTTGGAGGGAAGGAGCATATTAAGAAGCAAAGGCATCGCTTTGCTGACAAAGGTCCGTCTAGTCAAAGCTATGGTTTTTCCAGCAGTCATGTACAGATGTGAGAGTTAGACCCAAGGCTGAGCACCAAAGAATTGATGATTTTGAACTGTAGTGCTGGAAAAGACTCTTGAGAGTCCCTTGGACTGCAAGGAGATCAAACCAGTCAATCCTAAAGGAAATCAATGCTGAATATTCATTGGAAGGACTGATACTGAAGCTAAAGCTCCGATAATCTGACCACCTGATATGAAGATCTGACTTATTGGGAAAGACGCTGATGCTAGAAAGGATTGAAGGTCAAATGAGAAGGGGGTGGCAGAATATAAGATGGTTAGATAGTATCACCAACTCAGTGGACTTGAATCTGACCATGCTCTAGGAGATAGTGAAGGACAGGGAAGCCTGGCATTCTGCAGTCCATCGGGAGAGTCAGACATGACTTAGAGACTGAAGAGCAACAAGAATTCAATCTAAGACTCAAGGGAGCTGCTATAAATACACATAGCTGATGCTCCTTCTGTACACAGCTCCCTCCCCACCAGCACCCTGGACAGTAAATTCTGGCCACTTCATCCTGCCCCGATTCTGACCTCTTACTTCTCAACCCAGCAAGACCACCATGGTTAGGTCTCCCTCTCAGCACCATGGTCAGATGTGCTCATAAACAGGCAGAAAACTAGGGCAACTGTAGAGCTTACTTCATTTATCTTCTATCAGAGATTCGAACCCTACACTGACCAGCATTGTCTACTTAAAAGTAATCGTTTCACCTATTTTGACCAAGTGTTACTACCTTAGTCGTGTCTAACCTTTTGTGACCCCATAGACTGTAGCTCGCCAGCCTCCTCTGTCCATTAAATTCTCCAGGCAAGAATACTGGAATAGGTAGCCATTCCTGTCTCCAGGTGATCTTCCCCACCCAGGGATCGAACTCGGGTCTCTTGCATTGCAGGCAGATTCTTTACCGTCTGACCCACCAGGGATGCCCTAGCTATTTACGGTGGGAAGGTAAGTTTGATACCAGTTACTTTAATGACTGGGTTGGCTCTGCACCGGCAGAGTTGAGTTGTTTTGACAAAGACTGTCTGGGCCCTTGAGCTTAGAATATTTACTATCTGGCCCTTGACAAAGTTTGCAGACCTCTAGAATAGATGATACAGGAGCTTCGTCAGAGTGTTAATGCAAATTTATGTTACGACAACTGTTTGCTTTTGGCATTAACTTCAGTCTTTCCTGAGAACTGGAAGGTTTCTGTTGGTCATCGTCTCTGTTGCAAGATGACCCATTTCAGCTCACGGACTTTATATAAACATTATAAGCCCCGTAGTCTTCACACAAACGCCCATGAGACAGAGGTCGCACACCATGGTCACTCAGTAAGGGAAGCAGGAGGTTTCACAGTCCCCTTGTTCTCCTTCCTCACCAACGACCATGTTTAACCTCAGCTACTGACAGCAAGAAGCATGTTCTGAGTCCCAGGGACAAGCTGTGGGTTTTCCATCTTGTTAGAGACGGCACGGTGCTCTTCCTGGCCCTGTTCAGGGTGTTCATGTAGTTGAGTCACTGTGTTACAGAACCAGGAATAATATTTCCCACACTGTGTAAGACCAGTGTGTGTGTGTAAAAACACGTTGGTCATGACCAGTGGGCTCCATAGGAAAATTCCACTTAAATTATCAAAAGTTATATATTCTTACTTACTCTTATATTCTTACTCTGATATTCAGTATAAGTTAGTATGATTTGAAGTCTGAGTTGTTCTTTTTTAATTAGCAATTCCATTTTTATTCACAGTATAGTTGTAGTGTGATAAATAATTATCTACAACCACACAAAAGAAGTATTTCTGAAAGCTATGGGTTACCCAATCTCTAATTCTTTTAAAAAATTGTTATCTTATATTGACTTTACGTTGGAGTACAGTTGATTTACAATGCTGTGTTAGTTTCAGTCCATGGAATTTTCCAGGCCAGAATACTGGAGTGGGTAGCCTTTCTCTTCTCCAGGGGATCTTCCCAACCCAGGGATCAAACCCAGTTCTCCTGCATTGCAGGCGGATTCTTTGCCAGCTGAGTCACCAGGTGGCAAGCAAAGTGATTCAGTTATTCAGGTGGCAAGCAAAGTGATTCTGTCTCGTGGGTGTTTGTGTGAAGGCTACGGGGTTTATAACATTTATATAAAGTCTGTGAGCTGAAATGGCTCATCTTGCAACAGAGACGATGACCAACAGAAACCTTCCAGTTCTCAGGAAAGACTGAATATATATGTATGTATGTATACATATATACATACATATATATATATACACACACACATAGATACACATATACAATGTATATGTATGTATATCCGTACATAGCCATTAGTTTTCAGATTCTTTTCTTATATAGATTGTTACAGAGAGTTGAGTAGAGTTCCTTGCACTCTACAGCAGGCCCTAATTTGTCTCCCCCGCCCCATGCACATTTCCCCTCTGGTAACCACAAGTTTGTCTTCTATGCCTGTGAGTCTGTTTTGTGTTGTAAACAAGTTCATTCGCACCATTGTTAAGATTCCACATATAAGTGATATTTGAGTTGTTCTCATGACTATGTTTGCTGGTGTTCCTTACTGATAATCTTCACCAAGTGCTGAAGCACTGTAATCAGTGTATGAGAAAATAGATATTTCTCAGTGTAAGAGTTTAGCAGGAATTCTCAAGCTCTGGGCTCAAGCCCAGGCTGTGTGCTAAGCACCCACACAGACTGCCTTGTGCAATCTTGACAACCACGTTGGGATCAGCATGCATGTGCCCAGTTCACAGATGAGAAAATCGAGGCTCAGAGAGGCCTGCAGAGGAAACACCAGTGCCCGTGCCCTTAACCCTCTCGATGGATCCCAGCACGTGTTTTCTGTCTTTTCATGGTTCTTTTGCTGAAAGCTGGCATCACAGAAAGATTCCAGAATGAACAAAGGCGAAATAACAAAGTGAGCTCACTGACTCACATGGCATCTTCCATGCTGACCGCCCACCAGAACTCTGCGGAGGCAGAAGAACCTTCTAGAACCACATGGAGACTCAAGCAGAAGCTTGTAAGCCTGTTAGTTATTCCTTAGAACTGCGAGCTCTAGCTTTGTATCAGGCAAAAGACAGTGAAAAGAATGTTCTTTAGTAGCTACACTGACTTCCGGATAACACTCAGAGGTCAGGAGCAGGAAGGCAGCAGGGTCCCCAAACACAAATGTTTGTGTTTAGCATCTCTGACTTTTCTTCACCACTGGAGGAACAAGGCGAGTCACAGGGGCATTGGAAAGTAAGCAGACGGGCTACCGGGTGTTTGCTAAAGTGAACGTGGGAATTCCTGAGAGGAGAGGGTGTGGGTGGCGAGGGCGGGGCTCCAGGGCGTCTGGGGACCAGGGTGCAGGATATCTGAGTCATAGCCTGAGCCACTGCATAAACCGTGGGGCTGGCCGTGCGGCCTCCACCTTTGGCTGGCAACTGTTGGAGGGTGTGTGTGTGTGCATGTGTGTGTTCATGTATGTGTGCATGTTATACAAGATGCTTACGTGTGCACAGATGTGTTTGTGTATGTTATATATGTTAAGCATGTGTGTGTTTGTATATGTGTGTATGTGTGCGTGTTACGTCTGGTGAGTGTTTGTGCATGTATATGTTTGCAAAGAGCTGACTCATTTGAAAAGACCCTGATGCTGGGAAAGATTGAGGGCAGGAGGAGAAGGGGACGACAAAGGTTGGATGACATCACCAGCTCAATGGACATGAGTTTGAGCAAGCTCTGGGAGCTGGTGATAGACAGGGAAGCCTGGCATGCTGCAGTCCGTGGGGTCACAAAGAATCAGACAGGACTGAGTGAATGAACTGAACAAATGTTTGTGTATGCGTGCCTGTGTGGTGGGTGTGTGTGTCTGTATATGCATGTATATGCGTGCATGTTATGTATGGTGAGTGTGCATGTTTGTGTGTGTTTGCATGTTATGCCTGGGAAATCCCATGGACGGAGGAGCCTGGCAGGCTGCAGTCCATGGGGTCGCTCAGAGTCGGACAAGACTGAGCGACTTCACTTTCATGCATTGAAGAAGGAAACGGCAACCCACTCCACGGTTCTTGCCTGGAGAATCCCAGGGACGGGGAAGCCTGGTGGGCTGCCGTCTATGGGGTCGCACAGAGTCGGACACGACTGAAGTGACTTAGCATCAGCAGCAGCATGTTATGTATGGTGTGTGCACATGCATGTGCGTGTGTTTGTGCATGTATTCATATTATGTATGGTGACTGTGTGTGCATGAATTTGTGTTTGTATATGTTGTGCATGTGATGTGTGATGAGTGTGTGCATGTTTGTGTGTGTTTACATGTTATGTATAGTGTGTGCACATGCGCATGTGTGTGTGCATGTTAAGTGTGATGTGTGTTTTGTGTATGTTTTGTGTGGTGAGAGTGTGTACATGTGCATGTTTCTATGTGTGTGTGTGTGTGCATATTTGTGTGTTGTGTATGTGTGAGTGTGCATGCCTGCACATGCTCGGCCACTCACACCGGGATGGCTCTCCCCTCGGGGCTGGAGGAAGGGGGCCCTGAGAGCATATTCCCTCAGAGAATGAAGAAGAAGAAACCTCTCCAGGCTGCCCTGTCCTCCCGAGGGCGCAGCGGTGACTGCAGGCCGGGTCCGGCCGTGGGGTTACAGATGCAGGAAGGTGTCTCTGTTTTGCTTTATTTGTTTCCAGAGCAGGTCACAGTCCCAGAGCATGCGTTTGCTCCACCAACACAGTGCAGCCTGCATTTCTCAGACTAGCTCCCTGCTGAGGGGCCCTGAGCTTCTCTAGACGGAATTAGAAACACGTATGAGGATGGAAAAATACCAGGAGGGGGCAGGAAACCTGTCCTCGTGGAAAATAAGGCCTTCCTCTGTCTTGGGAGCCTGTGACCGGCAGGGAGAAAGAGAAATGCCACCTCTGGGCCCCTTTACACGTTCCAGGGCTGAAATCCCCGCTGACCCCACAGGCCCCCGGCCCAGGGAACCTACCGATGCTGTGAGACCTACTGCTGGGACCCGAGACCCACGCCAGCGCGGCCCAGAGGCTGAGACAGGCTGGACACGGGGCCAGGGCAGCCCCTCCAGGCACAGGCCGGTGACATGCACCCTGACCCTCCCGGCTCCCACACAGGACCTGGCCCAGTTAGTGCTTCGCTAGGGATGCAAACTGAGAACTGGAGGAGTGGGACTGGCCGGCATGGGAACCCCAAGTCAGGCCTTACAGGAAGCAGGTCCTCAGACAACGAGTTAGGGCCACTGGAGCCACTTGACAGGAAGAGGAAGGTGGAGGGGGTCCCTGGGGGAGAGAGGCCCTGATCATGTGGTCCCAAGACCCAGAAGGACAGATGGACGGCTGACCCAAGACCCACCTCCAGGTGCCAGCAGGGCGTACGCCAGCCATCTTGGGTTCTGTCCACAGATGTCCGGGGATGCACTGGCTTCCCGAGTTGTTGTGAGTGGTCCTTGCAGAGAAAAGAACCCTCTTTAATTAGCACGGCACTTTATTTGAATTTCACAATCAAACCAGTCAATCCTAATGGAAGCCAACCCTGACTATTCATTGGAAGGACTGATCCTGAAGCTGAGGCTCCAATACTCTGGCCACCTGATGAGAAGAACTGACTCATTGGAAAAGACCCTGATGCTGGGAAAGATTGAAGCCGGGAGGAGAAGGGGATGACAGAGGATGAGATGGTTGGATGGCATCACCGACTCAATGGACATGAGTGTGAGCAAGCTCCAGGAGTTGGTGATGTGCAGGGAAGCCTGGTGTGCTGCAGTCCATGGGTCGCAAAGAGTTGGACGTGACTGAGTGACTGATCAACAACCAGCACCACCTGGCAGACAGAGCTCATTATCCCACGTTATAGGTGAGGAAGCTCTGAGGCTCAGAGAGGATAAGGAACTTGCAGGAGGCCACAGAGCTGGCCCACAGTGATGCCGGGAGCAGACCCCATGTCTGTCCTACCGCAATATCCCCTCCCACCTTGCCACCTTACATGATCACCTCTCTTCTTTAAGTACTTTCATTTTTATTTTCTTGAAAAGACAGATTTTATTTTATTTTTTTATTCCATTTTTTGGCTGTGCTGAGTAACCTGTGGGATTTTAGCTCCCCAACCCGGGATCCAACCTGCATCCCAGCACTGAGAGCATGGAGGCTTACCCTCTGGACTTCTAAGGAAGTCCCCCCACCTCTTTTCTTGGGAGCACAACTTGACCCTCTTGGGATCTACAGGATTTTCCTTGTTCTTGCATCCGTAGCTCCAACTTTGGACATGTAGCCAGGGGATCTCCATGGTCCTTAATTAAAATCACGGGGAGAATGATGTCCACAGCACTTGGCTGCCGGGAGCTCCCAGCACATGCTTTTCATCCGAGTGAAGAAACAAGTGTCAAACAGCACAGCCCTGCAGTGACTGAGGCAACGGGCTCACAGGGCATTGGAATCACACGGAAGCAGCTGCCAAGAGCCTGGCTGCCTGTGTGAGGACTTGGAGGTCAGACTCAGTGCTAGAGGGATGTGTGGGCTCCAGGTGCGGGCTCAGCGCCAAGCACCCCAGCATCTCTGCAGGGCCACCTTCCTCACTAGAAGCCCAGAGATCTGGCTGAACTCCAAAGAATTCTCCAGAAGTGAGAGGCCCCTCAGAGGGTTCCCCAGGCCTGGGATAACTCCATATTTCAGTGTTTTTTTTTTCTTTACCCTCCCCACTGAATCTGACTCCTTTCAGGATCCCCCTCAGTTTGTTTACCAAGCGCCGATGATGTTCATGTTCTCTGCTAGTGGCCTCTAGCTCTAGGGTTCCAAGAGGATCCTCCCTCCCAAGAATTTTGTCCCCTAGGGTCACGCTTGCTGAAAATCTCCTTCGGTCAGTGTTCACAGCCTGTCCACTCCCAGTTTCTACAATTCTCTCTCCTGAAAAATACTCCCTTTGTGTGTTCTGTCTTGCTGATTCTGCCTTCAAGACCCACTTGATTTTGTCTAACTTTTCCTTATCCATCACTTTTTTTAGTGAGATGTGATATTGTTGTTGTTGTTCATTCCCTAAGTCATGTCTGACTCTTTAACAGACCATGGACTGCAGCACACCAGGCTTCCCTGTCCTTCATTATCTCCTGGAGTTGGCTCAAACTCATGTCCATTGAGTTGATGATGCCATCCAACCATCTCATCCTCTGTTGCCCCCTTCTTCTCTTGCCATCAACTTTTCCCAGCATCAGGGTCTTTTCCAAGGAGCTGGTGCTTCAAGACAGGTGGCCAAAGTGTTAGAGCTTCAGCTTCGGCATCAATTCTTCCAATGAATTTATTGTTATTCTGTCGCTCAGTCATGTCCGATGCTTTGTGACCTCATGGACTGCAGCACACCAGGCTTCCCTGTCATTCACTATCTCCCAGAGCTTGCTCTGTCCATTGAGTCAATGAGGCCATCCAACCATCTCATCCTCTGTCACCCTCTTCTCCTGCCCTCAATCTTTCCCAGCATCAAGGTCTTTTCTAGTGAGTCGGCTCTTTGCATCAGGTGGCCAAAGTATTAGAGCTTCAGCTTCAGCATCTGTCCATCCAATGAATATTCAGGATTGATTTCCTTTAGGATTGACTGATTTGCTCTCCTTGCAGTCCAAGGGACTCTCAAGAGTCTTCTCCAACACCACAGGTCAAAAGCATCAATTCCTCAATGCTCAGCCTTCTTTATGGTCCAACTCTCACATCTATACATGACTACTGGAAAAACCATAGGTTTGACTGTACAGAATTTTGTGGACAAAGTGATGTGTTGTCTCTGCTTTTTAAAATGCTATCCAGGTTTGTCATAGCTTTTATTCCAAGGAGGAAGCATCTTTTAATTTCATGGCTACAGTCACCATTCACAGTGATTTTGGAGACCAAAAAAATAAAATCTGTCATTGTTTCCACTTTTCCCCCATCTATTTACCATGATGTTATGGAACCAGATGCCATGATCT